GACTAATTCTGCCAAAAAGAGAGGCGGTGGGTCAGGCTTCTTGGAACGGAGATGTTGGAGCCCAGTCTCTCTCATTTTTTTTTTTTTAAACCTGGCTTTGAAATGCTCAGTTAAGAAAAAATTTTAATAGCAAAAAAGTAGAAAAAAGAAAAAAATTCCCGTTATACCAAAAAGCACCTGTGTACTTTTGAAATGTCCTACCATTTTTTCTGCAAAGCTGATGTGATCTAGACAGTAAATTGATATTCTCATTTTTTTCACTTGACATTGTAAAATTTTCATTTTTCCCATGCTGTTATCATGTTTTCTAAAAGTACTTAAAATGTGGAAATCAGGCAAAAAGATGATTGCACATCCTTCCAATGGTAGACTAGAACATTCCCAGGGCCCCAGCCCAAACTCAGAGATGCAGAATCTGCATTGTAACCAGGTTCCTCATGTGGACCTTCGATTCACTAAAATCTGAGAAAAGGTTTAGCAGGGCTGCCTAACGCTCTAGGGCCTGGATTCTGTGAAGTTACAAGTTGATTGTAGAAGACTGATCAGTTATAAATGCCTTTTGCCAGTAAAGGTGAAAATGACTTCTCTCTCCGGCAGAAAATAAAATCCCAAAGGTTGTAGTTCAGCACCCTGTGGGCTACTACCCAGTTTTGCATCTGATTTTCACCATCCTTCTTTGAACTAGTTTCACCATCCCATTGATCCCCCCTCATAATGAATTAAATACGTCTTTAACAGTTGTTCACTCTGTATTTGTGGGAGAGGCATGTCTTCAGCTTGTTGAAAATTGTGCTTTGACAGCGCGATTTATTATCATCCTTTTGAATAGCTCTATGGAAGTCCACATCGTGATTAACCATAATTATCTACTGACTTACCTGTTGCCCTGTTGTTGGGCATTGGAGAAATCTCTGTTCTGTGTGAGGATAAATAATTGTGCAATGAACATCTTTGGAGGCAAAACTTTTTCTGTATTTTATATTTCTTTGCCTTTGAGTAAATTTTCAAGTACGGAATTAATGGACCAAAGGGTATGTACATTTTTAAGATGAGTAATATTGGAGTTTGCCAAGTGGACAAGAACTGAAGGTCATTCCTAGTGGCCTGAGCACGAGCCCCACAGACAAGTTGATGCAGACTGGCTAGGATGTGTGTGGTTGCCCGGTGAGGGGCTGACAAGGCAGGAGGGAGACCAGACTGTAAAGATCCTGGGCCCCTGGATGGTGTATTCACAACAGTAGTGTAAGCAGAGAAGCAAGAGAAGACCTGCATTTTACAAAGACCCTCCTGACAGCAGGGGGGCCTCCCCAGGGCTCCCAAAATGATGCAGGGAATGCAGACCAAGAGCTGACCTGGGACAGAGACTGGGGACAGGACGGAAACAAGAAAACAGAGAGAAAAGATACATGGAAAGGTCCAGGGGTTTGACTCGGGTCACTGGCTCATCAGTGGTGGAGATGAAGCCTCGGGGTCACTGTTTCTTGACTCCCAACCCCATCCCCGTCGTAGTCCAACAGCTGTGCCTTCCTTTGGGGTCTTATCTGAGATGTGACTTCTTAAAACCACAGGACACTCTTGATTTTCTCCCCCAGATGGACTTTAATTAGAGTCTTGACGTGTAGGGACCATCTCTGCCAAAGCACAAGACACACATCCAAGAGGAGGAACAGCATTGCTAAAAATAAGGAAAGATTAAACACACATTCCAGGGAAGTGTCAGGGCATTCTTGCAGAATTTTCTAGACTTAACTGCAGTGGATACTCTTGACTGTGTCTGTATCCACAAAACCAGAGCTCCGGCGCAGCTTTGCCAGGATGCAGATTTTGGGCAACGAGGGGCAGGCTGGGTCCCCAAGAAGCCTTCGGTGCTCTGAGAAGAGCTGGACTATGGCGGGCCCACGCTGCGCTCACGGCCTGCCTCAGCACCTTACTGTCAAGGAAGCTTTGCAGCCTTATGTTACGTGACCAATCACCAGGCGCTTTCACAACACTGCCTGATTGTTCCCTTTAAATCCGCCATTTCACAACTCGGGAAACTGAGAGCAGTACTTCAGTTGCCAGAAGTCATACCTGTTGGCCACAGTGCCTCAAGGCTCATCTGTACTAGACCCCACAAGAGATTTTGAATGTGGGAGGTGGTTCAGTCCACAGCTTTTTAGGGGCAAGAACCCAAAGGCACGCATCCGTCTTTAAAGACAGGAAACTCTAGCTGGACCAGATAGAAAGTAGTGGGCGTATGATGACAGACTTCAGACCCCCTCTCTGGGCCTCTACCTCGCATCACCTTCAGGGCTGCTCCATGTCTGAAAACCCTCTTGGTGGCAGCCCCTAAAGGGAAAGGATGAATAAACATTGCAGTGGGTTCACACTGGGCAGTTCTCTACAGCAGTGAGCATAAACATGCTGGATGAGTCCCCCAGACACGACATTGAGAGAAGGAAGCCAGACACAGGGGCCTCCTGGTGGCTCAGTCGGTGAAGCATCTGCCTTCGGCTCGGGTCATGATCCTGGGGTCCTGGGATCAAGCCCCACGTGGGGCTCTCTGCTCCTCAGGGCGCCTGCTTCTCCCTCTGCCTCTCCTCCTGCTTATGCTCTCTCTCCCAAATAAGTACGTAAAATCTTAAAAAAAAAAAAAAGAAGAAGAAGATGAAGAAGAAGGAGAAGCCAGACACAGGAATTCACACTGTGCTGTCACAGATACACTGAGGAGAGAAGCAGGTGCAGCTAATGTAGGTCCTGAGAAGTCAGGCTCCTGGTTATGCTTGATGTAGGTGTTAGCAGGAAGGGGGTACAAAGCGGGCATCTGGGGGGACTGGACATGTTCTCTTTCTTATTCTGGGTGCTGATTACACGTGCATGTAGCATGCAGTATATAAAAATTTAATGAGCTGTGCCTTGGGTTGTGTTCTCTTTTCTCTTTGCATCTTAGACATCAATAAATGTTGTTTTTTTTTTAATTAAAGAGTAGCCAAGCATGCATAACCTCAAAAATACCTTCCTGCCAATACTGATGGAAAAATCTCCTTCCGTTTGTCAAGGATGGGCCCTCCCAGGTGTTAGACTCAGGACCCTGTGTGCATTGTCCCCTTGAATTTCCTAGGGAGGTGCTGTTTTACCTCTAGTTTGCAGATGAGAGAAATGAGGCTCAGAGAGGGAAAGTACCTTGCCCAAGGTCACACAGCCAGTGAGAATGTGCCTTAAGGTGGCCTCCTCTCCATTCCCAGAATGACTACTGTGTGTGTAGGCAGCTTTCTTTCACTTGTCCCCATGCAGGAAGGGATGGTCTCTGCTCTGCCTGGTTTTCCTGGAGATAATGTTTTGGATTTAGGGTCTGCAGGTGCGACCGTGGCAGCTCTTCTGCATCCTGAATGACCATCCAGCCCCTCCCACTGCACACACCTGCCCTCCTACCAGAGCTGTGGGGATGGACGCAGTGAGATCGAGATGCTCGCACTTGGCTTTCCTTATCATCAGGGCACAGCCGAGAAAGGGTCCATTTAACCAAGGGCTAGTCTGTAAGAAGAACCACCATCAGCTAGGCACTCTGTGGTGTGATGTTGACAAGCTCAGATTTGGGGGGTTGGGGTTTGATAGACCTGAGTTCAAATCTTGACTTAAGCAACACGGACCAGAGCAAAAGTCTTGTCCTCTCTGGGCCTCCATGGTCCCCGTCTATAAAGCAGGTGTTAAAGCCCTCTTGGGGTGGTTGTGTGAACTAGACAAGAGATGGCAAGAAAACCATCAAGCCTGACACAGAGGACCATTTGGGAAGAATTTGAGAGCTGGGAGCAAGGCTCTAAAAGGAGACATAAACAGTGCTGGTCACTGTAAGTCAGTATTGGGCCCCATCACCCAGTGTGGTTTGGGGTATGGGGCAGGACAGCAGGCTCCCAGGGTAAATGAGGCTTCTCGGCAAAGGCGGAGCCTCCTCGAGCCTCTGGCGTCCAGCTGGCTTTAGATGGCTTTCCCCCAAGGAGGGGATGACCCAGCTTGGACAAAGACCTGGGGGGGTGGAGGGGCCAGCCAGGCAGCCAAAGGAAACAATGACTGCCCAGCATGCCATTTTTGTCTGTTTTGCAGCAAGCTCGAGTGGACAGTGCATGATAGGGAAGGTTACTGAACAGCGAGGACACAATGGTTGCTTTGAATTCTACAAAACCAGACTCTACCATGACCATTGAGGCTAAAACAGAGCCAAAGGGTACAGTTAGTGTTAATACGTGTTGAGCAATCAGTTCTCTGGCAGGGGGGCAGGAGGCCCTGACTCATCTGCCAGCTTTTGCAGTGTAAATCCTTATACACGACCCACTTCAGGCCACCACTGCTGTGTCACCAGATGTGGAATGAGGCAAAGAAGCACCCAGTTGACTCTTGCAGGTCGATGGCTAGGTCCGGTGCACCACTGAGTTTCCAGAAAACTTGGGGAAACTGGCCTCCCTGTGGCATGGGCCAGGATTGCATATGGCTCCCGTGGAGACCCAGAGCCCAGTGCTTCAGGAGGCAGGGCCTGCTGTGTGTGAAGCCATGAGACCCGAGACAGATGGTGTCCTGGCCCCAGTCGAGCGACAGTCTGTCAGGCAATTGGCATTGACCAAATGATTGTCCTAAGCTGCTTGCGAGGTGAACACTTGGGAAGAGTAGAGTCTTACACCGAGGGCATGCCCACGCCCTTCATTGCAAAACCGTAATGAAAGGGAGACTGTTATTGCTTGAATCAAGAATGGACTGCGTCCTCTGAGATCCTTACCACGTGATATTGAAGTCGGGCTTGTTGTGACAACCCTTTCCAGAACTGGGACTTGGATTTCAAGGGCCTTTTCCAATTCTGTCAAAAATCCATCAGCCTACAAGCAGAAAAGCGCTGAACCAAAATCCCGGCTTTGGTCACAACAGTCTGGACAGCTCTGTAGTTCCCTCCAGACGTCAAGCCCTGGCCAGGCTCTATCATGCTCTCAGTACTTCTATCTGAGAATCATCCCCACTTCTGCTTTGCCTCCTAGGTGGTCTTCGAAGCCTTGCACAACCTGGAGCCTCGGGGCTATGTGGTGGGCTGGATCATCGCCATCAGTTTGCTGGTGGGAATCCTCATCTTCCTGCTGCTGGCTGTTCTGCTCTGGAAGGTGAGTGGGGTGATCCCGGGGCCCTATGGAGCCCCCATGCGGGGATGCCCGGCCCTCCGCCTCACCAGAGGGGGAGCTCTTGGAAGAAGTGTCCGGTTAGAACTTCCTCCTCAGTGCAGGTACAGTGGAGGAAGGGCAGGGTCCCCTGCAGGCGCCAGTGGAATCTTGGTTCCTCTTGAGGCCATTCACAGCCGGGGCTGGACCTTTAGAGGGACAGCAATGTCTCAGCCCTGGTCTGTTCTTGCCTTTCTTGCCGCTCCTAACAGGGCCTGATGCCACAACAGAAGCCTGGGGAGGAACAGCGGGGCTTGGGGTGGCTCACCATTTACTTTAGAAAACAGACACACGCAAGCAAATGGATTGCAGAACAATTCTTTGTTCTTTACCCATGTGGAATAGGAAAATGATTTCTGCCCCAAAGAGGCAGTACGTTCTTCCAACCTTTGTAGGTGAGCCAAGGGATAGATTTGCCCTGCCTCCTTCCCCAAGGAACACCTGCCCATCCTTCTTGCCTCCTGTCACTTTCTCGAAAAGGGGCATGTCCTCACCTTATGGTTTCTTTGCCTCACACTCTCAGAGATCTGGAGCCCCTTTACTTCAGAGCCTCTCTATTCATCAGTAACAACCTCACAGTCCTTATCTAACGAAGGAGCATCTCTTCCGCTGGATAGTTTTCCAGATGAGGGGAACCTCTGGCTGCTCTTGTGTCTCCTAGAATAGCACCAGAGACCCCATCTGGGGCTTGCTGCCGCCACAGCTCTGCTTTTACAGGGCTCCTTTCCGGCTTCAGATGCAGGTGGAAATGGCCTCTTACATCATTGTGGACAGATGCTTTAGATTCAAATAATCAGCTGCTTTGGGATTACAAAATAATTTGTATTCATCCATCAGACCTTGTATCATGTCAGTGAGAAAAAAAAGTTGTAAAACACTCAGGAGTCCACATCTCAGAATAACCACAATGAGCAGCACTGTCTCTTCTTTTTTTTTTTTTAAGATTTTATTTATTTATTTGACAGAGAGAGATCATAGGTAGAGAGAGAGAGAGAGAGGGGGGAAGCAGGCTCCCCGCTGAGCAGAGAGCCCGATGCGGGGCTCGATCCCAGGATGCCGGGATCATGACCTGAGCCGAAAGCAAAGGCTTTAACCCACTGAGCCACCCAGGCGCCCCAGCACTGTCTCTTCTTGACCTTCCTCACTGCGTAAAGTCGTAGCTCAAGTACTCTCCTGGGACCTACTTATGTTTGACTAGGATGTTGAATTTTCCAGTAATGTCCTCGATATATTTTGAGGTACAAGACCTCTAAAGTCAAAACTATGGGTCCAATTTTTAATTCTGAAAAAAAAGCTTAATAAATATACTTTTATCCAAGAAGTCTAGAAACAGGAAAAATAGTGTTTTTATTACACGTTTTTTAGACTCATAATCGGATTCGTTGCTTTGAACTTAGAGCTACGTCACCTGAAAGAGTGTTTAGAGGTTTCATGGAAAATACATTGAGTTACATGACTTGAAGCTAAGTTTATCTTATGTTCCCATGCTTTTCATTCCATGTACCCTTTCTTCCCCGAACACAGTGCTGTGAGCATCTTTCCATGTCATTAAAAACCCCCTGTCTGCCCAGTTATGAGGCTACACAGTCTGCCCTCACTCATCCAATGCCAGGACACGGGAATTTAGGTGGTTCCTGGTTTCACACCTTTAACGGTGCCACAGTGAATATCCTCAGAGCCAAATATTTGCACAAATTCTTCATTATGTGCTTAAGATAAACCCTACAAATGGAATTGCCAAGTCAAAGGAAACGCACACTGTAAGCCTTTGATTACATGCCGCAAATTGCCTCTAAAAAGGTTATACCGATTTACCCGCCCACAAGCACTGTATCAAAAGTGTCCATTTTCCTATATATTTGCCAGAAGTGGATATTACCTTTAAAAAAAAAAAATCTGCCAGTTTGTCGTTTGTTTCATCTTCGTGGCCAGATAGGTCGTCAGCTCCCCCACCCTCCTCCAACTCCTTCCTGCCTGGACCACCTCTGGTCTATGCATAGAGAACAAAGCCAGCTCAGTGCTTGGGATCTGAGAAGACAGAAGGGGCTTTGGTTGGTTGCGCGGGGTGGCAGGGTATATTTCTTCCTTCTGCCTTTGTCTGGGCTTATTGGATGAGAGGAAATCCTCCAAGGCTGGTTGCGTGAGACCAGATGGGGACAGAGAATGGGGAGTGTGGTGGCCGTGCCCCATTCCTGTTTGTGATGAGTGTGCCCTCCTCCTGGCCACCGTCCTGGGCTCTGCCACCCAAGGGTGTGTCCCAACACTGTGCACAGGCTCTTTCTTTCTTCCTACCTAGCTTTGCTTCTGCTGTGTTTATTAAAGAACGCAGTTGCAGGAGATGGCTGTCATGGGTAGCCAGGACCCAGTTGTCACCCAGCTATATGGGATCCAGAGAGCCAAGACCCGAGAAGCAGACACCACCCTCTACCTCAGGCTGGGAGAGAGAGCAGAGTCATGGCAGCAGGTGGTGGCACTGACCCCAGACAAGGTCTTGCCATTACCAATGAGGTGGAAGACGGTGTTCTGAAAACAGCTTTAAGGGCGCAGTTGAATGATATGCTGTGGGCTCAAAACCACTTTGCTCATCCAAAAGCAATATTTCATTTCAGCTCACATCTACTGAACACTTGATTTGAACCAAACACTGGGTAGTAGCTGGATACAACGATGATTGTGCCTCCTCCCTGCCCTTGAACACTTCCCCACGTGGCACGCAGACCTATAAACATAATAGAGGGAGATGAGTGTGCACACGCTTCTCTGGAAGCTGGGAAGAAGGTACCGTTAATCCTTCACCCCAAGGGGGATGGAAAGGCCACAGAGTACCATGTGGGAGGTGAGAGCAGCGCTCTGCCGGCTGAGGGCTATGCACTAGAACCTGGCTGCATGCTCACCAGGGTGAGGCCTGGGAGAGTCGCCCTCTCTGACCCTCAGTTTCCTCCTCAGTAAAACAGAGACCCTCACCTCTAGCTTGAGGTATAGAAAAGACACAGGCAAAATGCTTACTTGGCCCTGAGCTTAACACAGAGAAGCACCTGAGAGAAATCAGAGAACATTTCGTAAATGAGATGGATATTCCCTCCAGAGGAAGAGGAGGTGAGAAAGTGAGCAGGTTGTGGAGAGGAGTGTCCCAGGTGGGCAGGGGCCTGCAGCAAGATTGTCTGCCTCGGCTGTGGCAGGGACAGGGGGAGGCGTGGGGGGTCTGGAAACAGAGCAGTGGGTGGCCAGGTCTGTTCAGGAGAGAGACCTGGTGACAGTTTGGGGGCTAGGGCAGTTGCCCCGGGGGTCGGGGAGGGAAGCAAATGAGAGCAGGCAGGGCTTGGTGGCCGGTTGGACTGAGGAGGTCCAAAGGCATGAAAGTAGCAGTGCTCCGCTGTTTTTAGCTGAGACAATAGATGGTTTCCCTTAGCCAAAGTAAGGAAGGCAGGATTTGAAGTCGTTTTGGAGAAAGAGTTGCTTGGTGTGAGGCATTCTGGGTGTGTGGTGCCTATAGGAGACTAGACTGGGCTTGGGTCACTCCCAGTCGCCCTCACCCAGCAGGGGGAAGGTCAGCAGAAGGACATTCTTGTCCCCTAACTGGTCTGGCCATCTTTCCCTTCAGATTCCAGGGCTGAACATACTTATCTCAGACTTCACCAAGGCCCTTTCTTTCAGTTGCAAAAACAAACAAACAAATGAAAACAGAAATCCATTCACAGCCACTTAAGCAAGAAAGAGAATTCTAAGGATGCAAGGGTACGCCTAGATCCCAAAGGAAACGTGTACATGCAGACCCAGAAAGCATCCGGAAACCAAGCCAGACAATCCCTCTTCCTCTCACTCCCTTGGTGCCACACAGCCCCTCACCGCTGCCCCTCTGCACACCTGCATTACGTTCTCCCAGAGCAGACCTGCCTCCCCACACTTCCTTCCACCCTCCTGAGAAGGACATCTCAGTGACTTCTAGCCCCAGTCCCAGGCTCACCAACCACCTCTCATTACCAGTTCTGCAAGTCTGGGTGAGAGAAGGTCCACCACTGTGACTGGAGGCAGGGGGTTGGGCCAAGTCGCATAAAAGGAGGAAGCTAGGCGGATACCCGAAAGGCATTCACTCCGGCAAGGTTTCACGTTGGGTGGTGGACTGTTGCCCACGTTGTGGGCTTTGGTGTTGTACCACAGAGCCACTGCTACGTCACAAACCGCCCCCAAGTTGAATGGCTTCCAGCAGCCATTACATTATATCTTACAAACGCATGGTTCAGAAATCCAGGAAGGGTTTAGCTGAGGGATTCTTCTGCTCTCCAAGACATTGAGTGGGGTCCCTCAGTGACATTTACCTGGTGGCTGGTCTTGTCTGGGGGACTCACACCGCTGGCACTTGGTGAGGATGGCTGGGAGGCCGGACTCTGCTGTGCAACCGCTCTTTCTCCATGTAGACTCAGAACCTCCCCAGGGAAGGGTCTCTCTTCTTACATGATGGCTTAGAGCCCGAGAGAGCACGGTAGAAGTTGCTGGTTCTCTTAAAGGCTGACCTGGAATTGGCCTAACCTCATTCCACCGTTCTCTGTTGGTCAAAGCAGTCACTTGCCAAGCCAGATGTGAGGTGGGAGTGGGGGTGGAAATAGGCCCCACGTCTTAATAGGAAGAGGGGCAAAGGGTCTGTGGTCGCCTTCCATCTGCTGCCTTCACGTTGTCCAGAAAAGTGAGCAGACTCTTAACCTTTTCTTTTAAAGTCACTATTGTTTTAAAGTATTTGAAACCTTCTCCCTCGTCCATAGCATCATAGGTAAAATCGCAGCTGAGCTCCTTTAGGGAAAGGGAATAAAAGTAAACCTTAGTGCAACACTCATGTCCGCATGCAGCCTTCGGGGTAGGTAATCTCTTCAGGCAAGACTGCAAAGCAGAAAGGAGGTTGGCAAAGGAAGTTTCTTTGAGAAAAACCTCTCCTTTCTTAAATGGCTAAGAAT